TGATAAACGCCCTTATAAGATAGGAAAAGAAGATTTGAACTTAGGTGGTTTGAACTCTTTGAAAACTAAGTTGGATTTAAAATATCTTTCATATCTTTATAGACTAGGAAAACTTTACACCCGAAGCACAGTCTGTGCTTATGAAAACAAAGGAAACTTTGATTTTTGCTCAAATTTGTGTTGGATTTTGGTATTTTACAAAGCAAAATATGCATATTTAAAAGTTAAAAAAAAACCCAAAAAAACCATTTATTTATTTTTTCATCATTTATTTTAATTTATATATCAGCATTTTCACAAATTTAACTTTTTTGATTTGCTGAACAAAAACTGTCACTGCTCTTTGTACTACCTGTAATTGCTGTGTTGTCTTTCCGTCTCCTGATAATTTGATATCAGCAGCATATGGACTTGGGATGTGTTTAAAACTTAACTGATAATTGGGGTTTTTGCCGCATTGCATAATCTGTTAGTTATTTGGCAACTTTAACCTCAAAATATTTAGCCTATAACACTTTTTACATCAACAAATTTATAGGCAATATAGGTAATAGTTATTATTAAGAACACATTTGTACGATTAACTTTTTTATCGTTTGTTCTGAAATAAAATTTAAAAAAATATATGCATGAGCGCGTGTGTGAATTCTGGAAAACATGTTATCAAAAACAGGGTGACCCCCCCCCCCATTCGCACAATCAAAAACAGGGTAACCCCCCTACTGATCCACCGACACCCCCCCCCCCCTAGGCCGAAGTAACTGACCAATCCCTAAATTGTGGATACGCAAACAAAATTACATCGCCTCTGCCAGTAATTTGTGAATAAGGAATTTTTTACATTTGTAGTCACAAAAAGTTGTTCATATTCAACCTCATTATTTTCAAAGAGTGGACATGTTTTTAAACATACAGGTAGTTTAAATACATCTCTCCAGTGAAAACAATTTAGTTTTATGAATCGATTACTATGCAAAGTATTGAAAATTAAGTGAATTTTTTTTTCTATTCAGTGACTAGTAATACCAGAAATTCTCCATTTAGAATTTGTAGAAGGCAAATACTTACCGGTACCACCAAAATTATCACATACAATTAATTAGGTATACTGACAGACGTATAATAATACTTTGTTGTTATACATGTATAGCATCTACCAAAATAGGTCTACCCATTCGCCTCATGTATGTTAAGAAACATCAAAAATTCAAACTAAAGGAGCAACTGTGCATTGCATTCATTGTGTATTTCACACAGCAAATATGGTGTGGCTTAAAATAAATCTTGTAGATATATTGTCAGTTTGTTGACTGTAAAAACGTAGACTGTCAGTATACTTGACTTTTCTTGAGTAGAAACTTTTATAGTCAATGGCACCATGTGTGAAGCCACAAACATAACAATATGATCAACTATAACTGGTGCACAACACTCTACACTCTTCCATTGCAACATTTGATGTTTTTGACCTAGATTCCTCTAGAAAATTGGGATAGCCAAAGGTAACTTGGCGTAGGAAAAAGAAGAGGGATGAATGACCCTCAACACTCCCAAAGCAGCCACAGACAGAGCCAGATGGAGATCTCTTGCCATTGCCTCAAGCGCCGACAGGCACGGGAGAGTTGAATGAATTCTCCCAGTTGGTGGACTTGATTGTAAAAATGTATTCATTGAATCTAAAACTTTAAGATTAGTCACTGATTGTCAACGATTAGCCAGTTACTCTGCAACACCTAAACAGCACTGCATAAACAAAACACTGTTACAGGGGAATTAGTAAAGCAACCGTGCATAACTTTGTGTGCAAGATATTGTACTGTGTATTGATTTGAGTTAACATCTGAAATTTGTTGTTAAACCACATTTTTGCCAAAAGCTCTATAATTGCTCACCGGACATCTTGTCACAATGTGTTTAATACTCACTGTGTTGATTTGATGTAACTGGTTATTCACTAGGTTCAGAATTCATTTTTTTAGCTCCGCTGTCGACTGTGTCGAGCGGAGCTTATCATATGAGTGATTGTCCGTCGTCGTCCGTGTCAATGTTTTACTTTTTCGACTTCTTCTTGAAAACTACAAGCCTGAATGCTTTGATACTTGGTGTATATGTACCTTGGGTAGACCTCTCTCAGATTTGTTCATTTCATGATGATATCTTCAATTCTCTAATTTTGGTGAATATTTTTGTCATTTTTAGTAAAACGTGATATTTTCAACTTCTTGTTAAAAACCGCAAGTCCAATTGCTTTGATATTACATATATAGGTACTACATGTGGACCTCTCTCAGATTTGTTCTTTTTGTAATGATATCTTTAATTCTCTAATTTTGGTGAATATTTTTGTCATTTTTAGCAAAAAGTGATATTTTCGACTTCTTGTTGAAAACCGCAAGTCCAATTGCTTTGATATTACATATATAGGTACTACATGTGGACCTCTCTCAGATTTGTTCATTTTGTAATGATATCTTTAATTCTCTAATTTTGGTGAATATTTTTGTCATTTTTGGTAAAAAGTGATATTTTCGACTTCTTGTTGAAAACCGCAAGTCCAATTGCTTTGATATTACATATATAGGTACTACATGTGGACCTCTCTCAGATTTGTTCATTTCATGATGATATCTTTAATTCTCTAATTTTGATGGATATTTTTGTAATTTTTGGTAAAAAGTGATATTTTTGACTTCTTGTTGAAAACCGCAAGTCCAATTGCTTTGATATATTATACATATAGGTACTACATGTGGACCTCTCTCAGATTTGTTCATTTTCTAATGATATCTTCTGTTCTTTAATTGCCATGTGCATTGCTAACAGCGGAGCTATCTCAGCCGACAGGCTGCTTGTTTAACATTCCACATCGTGGCTTTATACAATCAGCAAAAATAAAACCGACTCATTTTCTCAGTATCCAGAGCAAAACATAACAACACTGACTACATATCGCATTTTTTTGTGTTTCAGGAGATTCCGTACCGGAGTTAAAAGTGGATGCTATTACCACGTATGATGTGGAATGTGCTCTCGCTCACACCAAACCTTCGGCCATCAAGTTAAAGGACCAGTATTTATTATGGCAGAAAGAGAATGAATCGTGCATCAGTCTTTAGTGTATAGAACATTCAGAGAGGTATCGGCTCTAAAGCATAGTGACTATTTACAGGAAGTATTGTAAAATGGATGTGTTGTATACCACATACCATACATGAATACCTTGATAGGAATATAGAAGAAGCGTTTCCAGTGTTTCATTTCATTTAATCTGCTGGTCAATCGATTTTGTGGTAACACAACAGAGATCGTCAATTTGTTGGATTCACAAAAACACTTGTGTTAAAGCGCCACAATCATACAGTGCTTGATGTGGGTTCTATGCATCGTTAGTTTACTTAAATGCAGAAGGTATAACAACTAGATGTTTTCAGTTAGTGTATGCTAACATCCATAATATATGGTATAAATACCTTATATCTTCAATGCCGTCCATTTTAAAAAAAAAAGATTAATACACTGTAATAATAAGGTGCAGGAGATGATTTGTAAATATTTTGTATATTTTAAATATTTGTATTTAGTTTTACCAACGTTTGAGGTATATTTTACTCTGCCAGTGTAATATAGTATTTAATAACTAGTTTTTGTTTTGATTTCTTTTACTAAATATTAGTACTTGGCATTGTGCTGAGCTACTACTGTGTTTAATACTCCAGAGATCTGTAAAATCGATTCATAAATTGCAATTTGGCAGTCATTTTTTTCAATCTATGAGAGAGTTTTTTTGTGTAGTACAAAGTCCTTCTCAATCAATAGATCTATATATATATATATATATATATATATATATATATATATAGATCTAACCTAATATACAAATATCCTGATCAGTATGTATTAATTCAATTTGGGTTCAACTGGTATATACATTTGAGATCCACTACAATCTTATTGGTTCATTAAATTGATTATGGTTATTATTTAGGAGAACATTCCATAATTACCATATTTCTTATCAAATGCAGTATGTATCAGTGTTGTGCATATCACTGCCAGTTTTCTGCACAAAGGCCTTCATAAAAATTGCTGTCAAATTTTATTTTTTACAGATTTGGTATTGTATCTTGATTTGATTTTTTTTGAGTTTCGTTTTTACTCCACAAGATAAGTGGGATGTGCTGACATTTGTTTTCAAACATGATACTTCAAAACAATTTTATAATGTGGTAAAATTTTAAATCATTATTTTATGGTCAGCAGGTTCTCACTCATAGGCTGGATATGTTGTTAGAATCATTATCTGAACATAACAAGTGAGATTGTCAGTCATAACATTAAAGGGTGGTGGTTTTAAGTCGCATTGTGTTCCATATAGGATTCATAGCGATGTACACAACATGTGTAAAATACACTACTGCCTTTTTAATGTGTTTACCTTGCCCGTACCATCAAAGATGGAAGGGAAAGGTATATTAAGGGGAAAATTTTGTCCGGCGTTGTCGTCGTCGTCGTTAATAATTGTTATTGTGTGCATGATAACTTTACTAATTCTATTCCAAACTTCATCAAACTTGGTCACCTTGTTCATCAGTATAAAGTCTTCCCTGAGTTTGAACAACAGATGTCCTGTATGAAAATATCATGCAAAAATTGAGAAAAACTGATAAAATATTTTGACTGTTT